CTTCTGTACATATTGGGTCTCACAGTGACTTGTAAATTTTAACTCAAACAAAACTCAGCTAATTACTGCAAACAAGTTTCACAGTACTGTCTACTTTTGGTATATTAATGAATGGCCACACTCTCACTAAATCCTCTCCTTTATGTCTCCTTGGAATATGGTTTACTACTAACCTATCATGGAAACCATACATAAAATGGGTTGCTAAATTAATATCTGCTAGAGTTGTTTGAATTTATCATTTTCATTCTACTGATTCCATTCCCTACCTCTGTAAATCTCTTATTTGTTCCTGTATGGAATACTGTTGTCATAATCCATTATGACAACCTCTTACTATTCAATTTTTTGTTTTATAAATTTTTGTCTAATGATATGTTTGTTGTATATCTTTGTTCATTTTAGTGTTTATAAAAAAAAAATGTTTTTTTCAAGTTGATTAAGGTGCCGAGAGAAGTCCTTACGGTCTTATCAAAGAGTACCGCGGAAGAGCATTTAATAAAAAGTTCACGTCTCCTTTCCAACCGATGTTACAGAACTTGCCCAGAGGTGGAGTTTGAACCACAGATCTTTTGTTTCTGAGGAAAGTGTGCTACCACTGCGCCACGACTGCTTTATAAATTAATTTTTTATTTATTTTAAGTGCTGTTTGGGTGTATTATCTGTCTTATTTATTTTTAAATCTTCCTCTTTATAATCTTTATTTTGTATTGACAACTGTCAAAACATACTTTGATAAAATATTGATTCTCCGTTATTCTAATGTACTTCATTTCTTCCCTCACGTGTTGACTGCTCGTGTGTGACCATTTAACAAGTTTTATATGCCAAATTTTTTAAATAAAATTGGGCTGGTTTTTCGTTCTTCGTTCTAATGAACATCTTTCATTTCAAGACATAGTTCAAAAACACATTGTAAACATAGCTGGAACAGGTCTATATCTTATGCTTGAGCCTTTTTCCCTTAGTCATAAAGATGCATCTCATTCTCTTTTCTACAAATACTATCATGGTCGCTGCTCCAAGGATCTATCATCTTTAGTTCCATCAACTAAATTCATTCTCAATTGGCAGTAAAGTCTCGTCCTTTTACTGTATCTGTGCCTGCATGCTCTAAAAATTTCTATTTGTCTTGTTGTTTTTTCCAGCACTCTAACTCTTTCCCATTTTCATGTTTTCCTGAGTGATGCAACCTATAATTATTTATATCTTTTGTCAACCGTTTCCTTGCTCTATTACTCTATTATTTTTTTCTTGTAACTCTCAACTTAATAGTTACTAGAATTGGAAGTGAATCTGAATAAGACAAAAATACCTATAAAATTTTACCAAGACCTAGTTATTTTATATTATTGTAAAGTCAAATTAATTTAGGTACAAACAGTGTGGATAGAAGAGTTGCTCTTTCATTGTTAGTTAAAGAAGTGGCAAAAAAATAAGCTTGTATGGTAACCTAATGATGTTAACGTTTTATATGCAATGTTATATATGTTTTATATAAACAACAATAATACACCATAATTAATTTTGCATTTACAGTGTTTTGTTTATTGGTAAATTAAAAGTTTATGGAATTATTATTTTGTGAGAGATATATGAAGATATATGGCCATATATCTTCATATATCTCTCACAAAATAATAATCTCCCATATGGGAGATCACATAAAGGAGACCAACAGAGCTGTCTATTAGACTTTGAAGAGGTGATTCTAAGAACAGATTAGAGAAAAGATAGATATCTAGAAAAGTAGTGAGACTCAATCTATTTAGAAAAAAAATCTCAATGTTAGAAAGGAATATCTTTAATTTTTTCAATTTAAGATACAAACAGATTCAATATGTTGACCAGCTTCAAGCCCCTTCTAATCTATTAGCCATAGATGTATTTATAGTACATTGTTTGCAATTTAGGATGTTGAATAGTGGATCATATTGACTCATTGCACATGTTTTGTTTGTGTCTCTGTTTTTATTACTAATCACTTTTATGACAATTCATTTTGATATCTCCAAATGAGGGTGCAGCTCTAAAACGCAGTTATTTGGTACTCATTATAGATCACTTATATTTGTGGTCTTCAAACCACGAATATAAGTGATACTCTTTTCAATCTTATTTCTAATTAAATTGGCTTGTTGTTGGTGACTTAAATGCTCATCACACTGAATCGAATAGCTTAAACGTAAGTGACTCTGCAGACATTAGGCACCACAACTTTTTCTATTCTTAATCAAATCAATTCAAATAGTCAACTTTCCAACTCTATTTCGAGACAATTTGAATCATTTACCTTTTCTATTTGACATGTCTTGTTTCTATTTCTAATTAGTACTCAGTTTTTCCACATTCACTTATATGTGCTTCTGATCATGGTTTGATCTCTCTAAAACTATCATCTCATTCTTCTTTATGATCAGAATCCCCCTATTACAGTACCTCTTACAACTGCATTAAAGCTGACTGGGATTTCATCCATAATTTTTTTTGTGATGGCCTATTAGGTAGAAATCTTTCATCTTGGTGATAAATGTGCTTCAATTTTGACTTTTTGGATTCAGGTTAGAATGGAATTTTGTATTCCCTATCTACAATTCCATATAAAGCCTCACTCTTCTCCATATTTTACTTCTCATTGTGCCACTGCAATTTCCAATCAAAACTTCCATATCTGTTGTCAAAACAATTCTTTATAAAACAGACATCTGTTTATTATTGCTAGAAACCATTGTAAAAAGTTTTTGTCTAATGCCACAGCCCGCTTTTTTCGGGTCACAAAATCTTGTATTTCTTCTCATAAAATAGGCTCCAGAGACATCTGGAGAATCTTTAAAAGTGTTTATAATAAGGGAAAATCCACAAAAGGTTATTCCACTACTCTTGCATAGTTCAAATTTTGTTACCTCACCTAAAGACAAAGCTGAATTATTTGCTAAGAACTTTTCAATCTCATCTCTTGATTCCACTAATCACATCCAACCTGATATAGCCGACAAACAAGTTGATCCCTTGCTTGACATTCGTACCACTCCAGTATCTACCTCTGTATCTAAAGTGATTTCCTGTTTCAACTTTTCAACAATACTATTGCCATATCTGGAGAAGATCTTTGAATGATACCCTTTTCTTCTTCTAATACATGCAATCCTTATAATAAAATATTTATAATAAAATATTTTAATACCAACTTTAAACTAGTGTCACGTTGTTGTAATGTTGCTTCGCTTTTTTTGTCAATCAATTCTAAAAGATCAAATCAAATCTAAAGAGTTCACTTTTTTGGTGCCATCTACTAAAAATTCATTTTCGTGTTACTCCTCATTCAATTAAAATCTCATCCTTTAACTGTGACTGTTCTAAAGTGCTCTAAAAATTCTACTTTTTTTCCTCAAACATCAATTCTTGGGAATTCGCTCCCTACTTCATATTTTCCTGATTCATATAAACCGTTATTTTGCTCTATAAAATTTATTTTTTCTTATTCAGTAACTTTCAAGTCTAATAGTGGTTACTTGCAGTCTTGTTGGAAGTAAAAGTTGAAAAAAAATCATTTTTGGTTGCATTGCAATCATTTTTGTTATGATGGTGGTGGTCTACTTGAATTTTTGAAGTTCATACTTCAAATGAACTTGATACTGCTACAAATTTTGCTTTGAACTTGTAAAGGCGCTTGTAAAAAAAGTTTTTTAATGCTAAAATTGAAAAAAAGTTACCTTAGATCTACAATGAGTACCATTATTTATAAAACCTTGACATTATCTATTAAACAAAAAATAAGTAATGATATTTACTTTAAAATTCTTATTGATGACTTTGTTAAGAGAAAAGCAAGGAAAATAAACCTCAAAAATGATGTAAAAAAGATTTTGTAATTAAAAGTGAAGTTATAAAACAAAATCTTGAAAAGCATTTCGATAAATGCAATTTTTAATCTTTTTATAGGGAACGCTGCAAATCAGATTCCGCCAAAGGCAATATAAACCCTTGGTACGTTCTGAAGCGTGGCAACATAAGAAGCCATGTAGATTTCCTGCATGGTTCTTTAACTTTTTTTCTAAATATGTGTGTGTGTGTGTGTGTGTGTGTGTGTGTGTGTGTGTGTGTGTGTGTGTGTGTGTGTGTGTGTGTGTCTATATATATATATATATATATATATATATATATATATATATATATATATATATATATATATATATATATATTTATAACTTGAAATATGTTTATAACCAATAAGTAAAAAAATTAGTCAACAAAATAAATTTCATTTATTGTTTATTTTGTTGACTAATTTTTTATATATATATATATATATATATATATATATATATATATATATATATATATATATATATATATATATATATATATATATATATATAATATATATTATACACACACACACACACACACACACATATATATAAATTAAATAATAACTAAAAATTTAAATTGCTTTTTAAAACTACTAAAACTACTAGGTCTTTAGTACTTTAATTTTGTTGCTTTTTTTACAGTTTTTTAATGTTTTTAATTAACTTTTTAAAAATCTTTAAATACAAACTTTAAGAATTTACTTATTCTAATCTTTTGAGATGTGCTTAAACCTTTATTAGTAGTGTTGTTATTTTAAAAAACAGAAAAATTTTTAAAGCTTGCAAAGCTGTTCAACAGCAAATGAATAGCTGCAGTGAATATATCTAAAATAAAAGCTTGCAAAGCTGGTCACCAGGAGACAAATAATTGCAGTGAGTGTGTTTGTCTAGTTTTGTTTTAAAAATTAAAAGTAAAATAATATACTTTGTAAGTTAATAAAACACCTGCACTTCTACCAAAATCAGTTATTTAAATTTAACAGGTAACTAATCTAATTAATTTCTTATCAATAGCATATCATTCACCCTCATAACTAAGGTCATCTACTCTCATAACCAATACTAACAGTTTATAACAAAATGCAAAATTTAAAAAAAAGTTTAAAAAGTTTAAAAAAAAAGACATACTGAAGAAAATTGTCTTCTTGAATAGTCTTTAACAAACTCACTTGCCAAACCTAAATAAAAGATAACTAATTTATATAATTTTTATATAATAATTTTATTAATCATTATTTTAAAGAAAGCATAAAGATCTAAATAATAATGAAGACTCTCTATGGATGTTGAAAAAAAGATTCATTAATATATTTTAGTTCTAGTTTAGCTCTTTTGTTCTAGAACTGCTGAGATTTTTTTGTTCTAGATCTACTGAGAACTTTTGAGTACTTTTAAATAATTTAAAAATGCCAGTGGGTCTAGTGCTTATAATAAAGAGAAATTTTCTTTAAGAGCATTTACAGTAAAAGTATGCAACAAAGGTTAATGACAACTCACACATAATTATGTACTGATAAGTGAAACAAGAAGTGATAGCTTAAGCAAACATGACAACAATATTTTGTATAAGGATGAATATGTTTAAGCAGGGGCTGTTCTAGAAAAAAAATTTTGGCAGCGGTACTTCCTCAGTCCCAAAGAAGTTTCGGGAAAATATTGCTAAACATAGGTGTTTTTTGCGAAAAAAGCCAAATTTTCCGTTAAAACACAGAGCAAAAAAAGTCCTAAACTTTTAATTTGGACAGCGCCCAAATATGGTCGACGCTGCCAAAAATGATCTAGACTAGTTCCTGATAAGCATAAGTAAAGAATTTAAAACTACAAAAATCCAAAATTTACTGAAATTTTTTGAGTTCTGTTGAACAATTTAAGAAAATGTCAGTGGGTCCAGTGCTTACAAAAAAGAGAGATTGTTTTTAAGAAGTTGGTTGAAGGAACATTAATACTAAAAGTACACAACAATGATTAATGACAAGTCAAAAATAATTATGCATTGGTAACCGAAACAAGGGGGGATAGCATGGGGGGGGGACAAAGATGACAGTAAAATAAGTGTTAAAAAGCATAAGTAGAGAAATTAAATCCAAATTACAAAAATGGCTACCACAACTATAAAAAAAGGCAACTTTGCAATGGATTAAATATATAGTTTCCATGAGTGGCAAGCAGTAAAAAAATCTATAAATCTTCTATATAATATTGCCGAACTTAATAGTTTTAATAGTAGTAGTAGTAGTGTCCCTTGGAGCGTATTTGACACGAAACCCTTGGCAGCCATTGCAACCGATGTATTGGCAAGAAAGAGTCGCAGCACTATAAGAAAACGTGAACAAATATCTAACGTACGTAAACTTTAAACTAAGTAATGTTAAAGCATATGTTAAAACATACTGAAACATTTATTATGTTTTACAGTTTGATTTTTACTTGAAAATTACATTGCGTCAACCTCTCCTTAATTTTGATCTAACATTTTTTTCCTCAAAAAAATTACTACAATTATTATAAAATCTACACTTGATGATATGCCGGTGTAGCTCGAGTGGATAAGGCGGCGAACTTCTGAACAAGTAACTAGTAACACGTAACTAGAGGTTCGACTCCTACCAAAGGCGGCTATTTTTTTTAATTTTTTTAATTATTTTAAAATACAAAATACTTTTGAAGTTTTATAAAGATTATATACAAGCATATGTAACGTAACGATGTTATGCACTCACAAAAGAAAAGATTTTAAGAAAGCTAAAACTTCATAAAACATTAATAATAAAAAAAAAAAAACATCACCAGGAGAAAAAATATGTTGCGTATCTATGATAATTGAGACACTTATGTTATTAATGTGCTCATGTAATTAGTCCTAATAAGCTGCGGATGGTCTGAAAGACCATCCGCAGCTTATAAAATATTTTTTAGCTTATAATATATTTTTAAACACGTTTTATAAAAAATTTTATAAAACGTGTTTAAAAAGTTGTCTGAAACTTAATAAAGAAAAAACTAAACAAGACAACCCTGCTACTTCAGAAGATGCTGCTGTGGAGGCAAAAAAAAAAAAAAAGCCTGTAGCTAGATAAAACTTTAAAACTTTATTTTGACAATTAAAAGTTTATTTTGCTACTTTAACTTTTTTACTATAAATATATGCAGCAACTGTTTTTCAAAACGCCTTAAAATGCTTATGACGTAATTCAAAAAAAAAACGCAATTAAAAATAAAATTGTTTGGAAAAACTCTTCGTAAAACGTTTTTTGTATTGTTTGGAAAATTGTTTTGGAAAATTGTTTGGAAATTGTTTGGAAAAACTCTTCGTAAAACGAATAACTTTTATTTAGTTTTTTTTTTCTTTTGTGCAACTTTCTTTTTAATAAATTTCTTTACCTTTCAGAATATAACCATTTTTAACAATGCTATAGAAAAAATATCAGCAAATTGATTAGTAGTATTTCAATTATATTAATTAGATTAAATTATATATATTAAATTATATATTATATATATTAAATTAAATAGATAAATAAATTGATATACAGTTAATACATGTGTTTTTTTTTTTTTTTGAAAAAACTTAGTGACAAAATAGACTAATTAGATAAGTCGTTAAGTAGCATGCTAAGAATATATTTATGGCGGTTATTGTTGTTAAGGGTGCTTAATAGGCAAATAAATTAAAAGCTAATCAGGGTTTTGAATAAATTATAAACTAATCAGGGAAGTTTTATTTGTAAACCTAATAAATAGGAAAATAACATATAATTCAGGTAGACATTGTTTTCACTTTTTCGCCAAACTTTGATATCTTTGATATTAAAAATGACCTTTCCAATAATTATAGATGGTAGTGTATTAACCTTTTTTTTCGGAACCACAATCCGTAATGATTTGTATTTTATTAATGTGAACGAAAGTCTATTCAAATATCTAAATATGTAAACTTTAAGTTCTTTAATTATCAATCAGTATTATTATAAAGTAGATGACATCAAATTCTATCGATTTATTTTTACTTAAAAATTTCATTGCGACAATATCTCTTTATTTTAAAGCATTAAATGTTGTTTTTTAAAGTTTAATAAGTTTTCTGTTTATTAAATAGTGTAAAAAGATGATATAGCATTCCAAAGCGATTGAAGTGCTTCGCTTGGGTTCAAAACCTTTTGCTTACACAATTTTTTTTTTAAATCTTTTTCAGTTTTTTAGAAAACAATTTAAATGCATATAGATGTTATACGCATTACATAAAAATAAAGATATAATGCACTATAACAAACCAAACGGAGAGAATTTTTTAAAACGTTTTTTAAAATTTTTAAAAACATAAAAACGCTGTTGGAAATTTGTTGCGCATATATAATGATAGAGATACTTATGTTTTAGGTAATTAGTTAAGTCTGCGAGTTCAACACACATTAAAGAGATAACATTCTTTCTTATATATAAAAAAAAAAGGTTTTACATGTAAACTGAAATTTTTATTAAAACTAACTGGTCAAGAGTCCTAAAAAGTACGGTAAGGTATGAAAAAAAAAATTGTATTCTGAAACGTAAAACAAAAATTTAGTTACTCCAGAAGGTGACAAACAGAAAATCCACAAAATTTCGCCTAATCCGCTAATAGAAATGCTCGAATACTAAGATATAAACAAATATTAAATGATTTTTGTATTACGAAACGTACGCCAACTCTTAAACCACTGTAAAACTATCTTGCGGTTATCTAATTAAATCCACCAAATCCGTTAATAAAAACAGCTTAATTAATAGATTCAAAACCATCTGATTTTTGTATTATGATATGTGCGCCAACTGTACTCTAAAACCAATAAAAGTCGGTCATGTGGTCTTCATATCGATTATAACAATTGCAAAGCGAGGGACGACAACTAAGTTGTATCTACAAGTTTAATTATTGTAATCTTCATTTAAAAAATTAAACTTATTTTATAATTACCATGTTAATATGTTTGAAGTTAATATGTTTTTGACCCAAGAATAAACATTAAGATTATTTTTTAGAAATGAGCAGCCAAGATACAGAAGGTATTCTTTTTATTTTGTATAACATTAATTAATTAAAGAGATAAAAAGAGATGATACGTCAATAATACTGAGATATTTAGCTTATTATTTTATTAAGAAATTACATTGAGATAATTTTGTATATCTTTAGGCGACGAAGAAGTTTCTGCATTTCTTCGAAGTAAGCCATTTATATATACTATATATAGTAGCAGTTACATATGTTCTAAAAGTGGCGGGGCTGTACTTGATTCACGTGTGAATAAAACGATGATTTATTTTAGCCGTTTTTAATTGAAATCAACCAAGATATGCCGCCCTCCCCTAACCCCGTGAATCTAGTACACCGCCCTAAAATTTAAATAAAATTAAAAAATATATAAATTAATTTTTAGAACTTTAAAAGGGTGGACCCGAAACTCAGTTTTTGTTTATTCCGCTATTTTGATTGATGTTTTTGTAAAGCAGTGAACCTTAATAACGCGTATAAGCTTTATTTAAGGTGTTTAAGCTATAATTTTATAAAACGTGTTTAAGCTAAAATTTACTTTTAAGTCTTTTAACTACTAAACTTTTACGTAAAATGAAACTTTTTGTCATTTACTGAATGTGTTCAATTATAAAACTGTGCAACAGTTTTATAATTTAAGACAAATCTTATATGTTTAATTGAAAAAGTGAATATTTTGAAAATTAATTTTGTCTAAATATATATTAGATGTTCAAGAGATCAGAGCCGAAGAGCTCTTGCCAAGTAAGCTAACTTTGTATGAGAAGGATATGTTACACAAATATATATTTCACCACTTTCAGCACTTTGTTAATTATAACTTTTTTTTAATGTTCAGCGGAAGTAATGGACAAGCTAAGTCAGGAATTTTTTTTTTTTTTTTTTTTTTTTTTTTTTTTTTTTGTGTGCAAATACAGTTATGCTTTTTTTAGTTTTTTTAAAGTTATTTAGCAACTGACTTTTGTCAGTTGTGACAGTTTGTCAGTCAGCAAGTGACTTTTGTAACTTTTAAATTTATTTTATTTAGAAAAATTAGAAGATTCTGTTGAGAATCTAAGTAAGCAGTTTGTTATTGTTGTTGTCATGCTCTTTATTTTTTTTATTACATATTTATTTAACATAAAGTTATTCTATATATGGCAAGTTAGTTTATTTTAATGTTTATAAGTTTTTCATTTTATTTAGAAAAAGTAGAACATTCAATGGGTAAACAGAATTTAATTATATTTCATTTGTGTATTATAGATAAAGATATAGCATTTTACTTTCAAAAAAAAAGGTCTACTCTTTGGTCTTTTAGCTTTTTTGATACAATCTTTAGCATTTTTTTTATAGGGCTTATATTTCAACAACTAAGTAAGTTACTATAATGTTCTTCTTTATTTTTATTTTTTATTTTTTTTGTCACTTTTTTCTTTTTTTTTTTTTTTTTTGGTTTGTTTTGTTTTTTGATTGTTATTTTTGGCTTTTGTTTTGTTCCAACTTTATTTATAGATTTTCTAAAGTTGACAAATATTCTGTATGTTAGTTTCTTTCTTAATGTTAATGAGTTTTTTTTTTGTATTCTATTTAGAAAAATTAGAAAATTCAATTGGTAAGCAAAGTTCACTTATGTTTCATTTTGTTTAATTTTAACACACATTTATTAATGTTTGTGTGTGGTTTTATCACTTAAAATAAACTGTTTAATTGATTAGTATATGTTAGTTTATGTAAATATATTTTTTACCTCCACTATAGCGTCATCTACAGTACCATCAGGTAATGTGTTTTGCATTCTTATGCAGTTTTAAGAGTGTTATGTGTGTTAAAACTAAAAGATAGCTTATCTTAATTTACAGAATACTTTATTTATTTATTTTTTTGTCTCTACATTAACACCTCAAGCAATAATGTCAGGTAATCTGTTTAGCATACTTATGCAGTTTTTTGGGTTTTATGTGTATTGAAACTTAAAATTTTTTTTTTTATGTTTTCATGCGATTACATAAATCTTTAACATATGTTACTTCATACACTTTTTTTTTTTACTTTTACAATAGCATCAATATCATCTGCAGTGCCATCAGGTAATGTGTTTTGCATACTTATGCAGTTTTATGAGTGTTACAAGTATTGAAACTTAAACATTACTTTTTTCATGTTTGTTATCAATTACATAAATGTTTAACATATGTTACTTTATACACTTTTTTTTTTTTACTTTCACAATAGCATCAATATCATCTGCAGTACCATCAGGTAATGTGTTTTGCATTCTTATGCAGTTTTATGAGTGTTATGTGCATTAAAACTTAAACATTACTTTTTTCATGTTTGTTATCAATTACATAAATGTATAACATATATTACTTTATACACTTTTTTTTTTTTTTTACCTTCACAATAGCATCAATATCATCTGCAGTACCATCAGGTAATATGTTTTGCATACTTATGCAGTTTTATGAGAGTTATGTGTATTAAAACTTAAAGATTGCATATCTTATTTTGCGCATCACTTTATTTATTTAATTTTTTGTCTCTACATTAACACCTCAAGCAATAATGTCAGGTAATCTGTTTAGCATCTTTATGCAGTTTTATGGGTTTTATGTGTATTGAAACTTAAATATTTTTTTTTCATGTTTTCATGCATTTACATGAATGTTTAACATATGATACTTTATACACTTTTTTTTTTACTTTAACAATAGCATCAATATCATCTGCAGTACCATCAGGTGATGTATTTTGCATACTTATGCAGTTTTATGGGTTTAATGTGTATTGAAACTTAAACATACATTTTTCATGTTTGTATGCAATTACATAAATGTTTAACATATGTTACTTAATACACTTTTTTTTTTTACTTTCATAATAGCATTAATACCATCTGCAGTACCATCAGGTAATGTATTTTGCATACTTATGCAGTTTTATGAGTGTTATGTGTATTGGAACTTAAACATTACTTTTTTCGTGTTTGTATGGAATTACATAACTGTTTAATATGTGTTTGTTTATATACTTTTTTATTTATTTCAACAATAGCAACATTATCAACTGCAGTACCACCAGGTGATGTGTTTTCCATACTTATGCAGTTTTTCCATACTTATGCAGTGATATGTGAATTGAAACTTAAACATTACTTTTTTCATGTTTGTATGCAATTACATAACTGTTTAATATATGTATTAGTTCATATTTTTTATTTATTTCTATAATAGCAACAATATCTGCAGGACCATCAGGTAATCTGTTTTGCATGCTTATGCAGTTTTATGGGTGTTATGTGTATTTGTGTAGGTATATATGAAATTTAAACATTGCGTATCCTTATTTTTACATTACTTTATTATTTTTTTTTTTTTGTCATAACTTTTTTTTTTTTAAGTCTAAATAGTTTTAAATAATATTTTTATTGGTTGTTTGTGCAGTATTGTATTCAAATTTATTTCTTTTTTTGTTTTTGTTTTTTAGCATTGCATCAAGATTTCCTGCGATATCGCTCCCAGCACCCAGGTCCGATATCTCAAAGGGTTTTCTACCGGTGGTGTCAATATGGGGGAGATGATCCCTCCTTTAGATGGAGAAGACAAGCCCCATATGACACCATTGGTAGAAGGAGGGGTGCTGGGAAGCAGTTCAACTCTTTTAATTTCTACCAGTAGCTTTTTTAAGCTACTGGTAGAATTATCTTTATCTTTAAATATAAAGAAAACTGACTTTTTAAAAAAATGTTTTTTTTAATTTTGCAATTTTTTATTATTTTAATTTTTATACTTTCAATATTTTGTTTTTTTGATTTTTAATTCTGTTTTTAAATCCTAAACTTACATAAGAACTCTTATGTTATAAAAATTTATAAAATAGTATTTAAAATCAGTTGTCAGCCACATGTGGTCTATATGATGCAACAGGTTTGCAATTGTTGGCATGTCATTTTTAATTTAGCATTATTAAAATTAATTTAGTGTTATTAAAATTAATTTGTAACTAATTTTGCTTTTTAATATTACCATTAATATGACTTTTAAAATAATAAAATTGTTTATTTGTTTCAAAAAACACTGTTTTATTACTTACAATATAGTATGTTATTACAAGATACTTCTGACTTTTTCTCTGTTTCAAACCAGTTTAGTTATAATTTTTGTTCACAAATTTTATTAGACGCTTTACACATAGTTTCATAGGTTTAAACTGATAAATAGCACTTTATTGTTTTTGTTCATTTTAGATTAGTATAGCAAAAAATTAATCAGATATGCGTTTATATATCTTTATTTATATTTATGTGCTTAAGTTTATATAAGTTTATATTAAGTTGTTTCCATGTGAAAAGTGATGTTACTTGGCAACGTGTAGTGCAAGATTGTGATTCTTGCTAGCCAAGCGGTGTTACTAATTAGTGGTGTTACTTGGCACATAATGCCAAGCGGTGTTACTGAATTGTGGTGTTACTTGGCAGCGTTTAGTACCAAGCGGTGTTACAAGTGTTGAGCTAGGTTGTGTTGTCTAGCTTTTTAAATTATTCTGGAAACACATAATCTGAATATTTTGTGTTATGTGCAAATGTGTTTATGTGCAAATATTTTATGCTATGATGCTTCAGATAGCACTTTCAACCAAACTTAAGTGTATTCACGTTTATAGAATTAAAATACTTTGCAAAAAATTGATGTTGTTAAAGGTTAGGAACAAATGTTTAAAAAAAGTGTTTTTCCTAACCTGAATTTTTATAGACATTACAAAGTTAAACTCTTCAACAACTTCTAAATATATATCTGAAACAACAAAAATCCCGCCTACACTACTGGTGTTATTGTTTGTCATCCTGTAATGTTGTTGTGATGTTTTGTGTTGATAGACAGCTTGGCTTACCTTCACGTTGGTGTCTATCGTTAAAAATGATCATTGGGTAGCTTCATAACTGAAACTTACTCCTAATCATTCACTAAAAGCCAAGAAATATTTTAGGAAAAATGCCTAATTTTTTTGTGTCAATAAGAATTTTTATCATTAGCAATGCTGATAAAACTGAATTTTTTTTAAAAAAGAGTATTTCCAGCCTTCTAACCAAATATTAGAGACTTTTACAATAGCACTCTCATAAAGTAAGTGTTTAATATTTATTTAATATTACTAAATTTCGTTTCGTATTTTTCATTTTTCAAATGAATTAACATAAAACAAATAAATGTGCATTCAGTGTTATCAATAATGATTTTATTTCATTTTTAGATAATGCTTTTATAATCAATTTAAAAGTCTTTCAAATCGTTAATCATTTTCTAAAGGCGAAGAAGAAGAATCATCAATCTTCATACCATTTAATAAAGCTATTTTAATAAAACGCAATACAAATTGTTGTAAATTAGTATTTGAATGGTTTGCGTGTGAATAATTTTCACTTTGTTACCTTATTTTGCAGTTTCCTATCACTTTGTATTGAATTAAATCCAATATTACAGTTCCTTATATCAAGTACTTCACATTTTCTGTTTTTTTTTTATGCAGAAAAACAGATCAAGTAATTTATTTGACTTGCCTAGCTACTTTTTTACACGCCTAGCCACAGTGAGTTTGCATAAATCAACAGAGGATTTGGGTTTGGGCAGGTTGTCTTGAACTAAATGATTTACCTTCTTCATGTTAAGCTCTAAATATAAATATACGGAAAAGGTGCATATGAGAATTTTTTTTTTCTAGCACATAATCTATTGTTCACTAAAAAATACTAGAGGGAGAAATAGAGATAAGGTTAATGTGGAATAGAGTTTGTCCTTTTAAGTGAAAAACTATTTTATAATCTATCTATCTTCTATATAATAATGCCTAACTTAATAGTAGTGTTAGTAGAAAGAGTCGCAGCACTTTTTTTAGAAGAAAACGTGTATGCAAATATCTAACGTACGTAATTAAGTAATGATAAAACATACTGAAACATTTTTCAAGTTTTATAGTTTGACTTTGACTTGAAAATTGCATTGCGTCAACCTCTCCTTAATTTTTGATCTACAGCAATTCTGTTAAAAACAATTTTTATATATTTTTAAAATTTCGATATTTGATGTGTCAGCATGGCCGAGTGGTTAGCGCGCTAAGCTTAGTCGTGGTTCAAATTTACCTCCAGCAATTTTTTTCTTTAAATTACAAAATATTTGTGAAGTTAAGCAAGTTAAATGTTATACAC